GAAAAGCCGATAAATAGGCTAGCGGTCGATAAAGTGTTAATCAAATGATCAAGCATACAATTAAATTAAATTTTGTCAACATGCACCGAGAAGTTTCTCCGGGAGACCATGCTGTCACCGATACGCTAATTATTTCGCAGATGTAGCGATCAGACGTCGTTACGTCAGAGAAATGAAAGAATCCGTTTAATTAAGTTCGAATATGGAATTCGACGTTGCATAAAATTGCATAAGCTTTCGCGAAACCTTGGTTAGCCGTATCGGGGATACGAGAGAGAAGCGTAACGGGAACGCGTCGGCCGCCAAGTTCGGAAATCTGCTGTAATAATTCGCGGCACACGAAAATGTTGCCGGACTGGTTCCAGTTATTATACCATTCGTTTCATTCGCAACGAGATGAGTGCGGCGAACGATCCCGCGGAGGCGTTCCAATGCGGGATCCAATTTTCACCGGCACTTAAAATCGCAACGGTATTGACACGGTTCGCCGAAACGCGTTTTTCTGCGTTGCCGCGAACAGATTGCGAATAATCTCTTCATCGAACTGTCCCGCTCTCACGCTCGCGTCACCGTGTCATCTACGTTATCAGAGATATTAACCGGCTTGATAAGCGGTTCTCCTCGACATTTGAAGAGGTTGAGAAATTCTTCGTGTTCGAGCAATGATTCCATTGATTTCAGTGCTCGATCTTCACCCCGACAACAGAGGATATCATTGATCTTAATCATCGGTTTGTTCAAATTTGAATTTTCATGGATGATTCTAGCTTCTGCAAGATTTTTACGAATGCAAAAATTTTTATATGAATGTAGGAGATGATATTTATCGAAATGACTAAAAGAGATAGAAACGACAACATAACGAAAGAAATAATCCTCAAAATAATATGCAACGAAATGATTTTGCTTTAAGAAATCTTTGTATCGATTTCTTTTTTTTGCTTGACTATTATCATATCTTATCTTATCTTATCGTACAAAAAAGTAATTATAAAGTGCTTATAAAGTACTTATCGTTATCTGATAATTATTAAACTATCAACTTCGCTTCTAACGCTTGCTAACTTCCAGTGAAACGTGTACTGTGAGTTTATGATAGGCGGACAGTGTTTGTTGAGCTGAGTATAAGATGGATTTCTCATATGCACGGTCGCATGGTCGCATGACCATATGGGCAGCATGTGCAAGTTCGGTTTTCATAGGCACACGTGCGGGCCAGAATGGGTCGAGTCGAACATGGACACGATTAAACGACGACACCGAGTATCATTGCCACTTGCTAATGCGTGTTAAGTAAATTGAAATAACGTCTGCGGTTACTGCTCACTGTTCTTCCAGATAGATACTCGCCAGAAACACTTCATTAAGATTATTCGTTTCTTTCAAATCCAAACAGAATTTGATTGTTCAAAATCTACGAGTGAAAGTAAATGAAAATGCATAAGATGTTGTCTCGTTGAGATTGTAAACATACATTTATGAAGAATTAACGAATTTGTTTCCTCCGGCATGTGTTACGATAGAAATCGCCAAAAGTCTGTTCAGATATACATAGTTTTGTTATTTTTACCAAATAAAATGAATCGATTGCTTTTAGTGCTCCGTGAACCTACTGTTATGGACGCAGAAATGCTGATCAACGTATGTGTTGTTGCATTTATAATTTTATTTTATTCATATTGGTAACAACTAGACCGCGCATTTGACGAATTTCTGACAAAATTGGGTGGCGACAATTTAAAACAGTAGAAAGATTAAAATAATATATATAATCATCATATATATATCATAAAATATACATATAAATAAAAATATATAAATATATATTATAAAATATATATAATAAATATCATAAAATAATATATATAATAATCAATGTATTGTTTGTCATCGATTAAATTGACTGAATGGACATGATATAACGGACTTGCTATTTAGTTTCTATTTCTAGCAACTAATGCAGACAATTCTTAATTTCCATCAAAAACCACAGTCTAGTAATAACAAATTTACTTGATATAAATTGAACGATGATGTAAACCTCAATAATTGAATCATTATGTACAGCATTTGCTGGCCAGGCCCGGGTTAAAATTACACGAAATTAGATGTCGACGAAATAATAGTCGATGAAGTAACCCCTTAACACTTTGACTGCTGCGTCATCCATATGTGGGTTACGGAATTATTAACAAATTCATTTTCACGCTAATCCATTCTAGTTTCTCAATTTTATTAAGATTAGCAAGAGGTAAGAATGCTAAAAACAGGAACTGATGTCATATAACTTTATTTTGCAATTATAATTCAATTGTATTTAATACTTTAATTTTGTGAAACTCTTGAGGTTTCTCGCGCGGCCGTCAAAGCGTTAATAATATACTAAGTATGTATCTCGTCATTTCGTCCAATGAACTCAAAAAGCCGTTCTCATCCTTCCCAACGGAAACTAAACGTAAGCGATCGAGCAACACCGGTACCTCGCGCCGTACACTGGAAACGTCTGCCGTGCAAACAGCCCGAGCACAGCAGATCGGAAAACCGCGATTCATTTCCAGACAAGCTAATAGATAGTCGCTACTCGTCCGAATGATCGACGGAGCACGACGACACACCGGCGGTGCAGCCGACGGCTAATTACCGCAAACAATCACCTGTTACAAAAGCGTCCCGTTCGATCCTGAGGTCTGGGTTTCGCAAGGTGCTTCGCCTCGGTTCGCCGTAGTGGTGTATCGCAGCAGATCGACAAATGGCCGCGTTGCGACTCAATTGTCCGAGGAGCGAGGCAAAACGCGACGGAGAAGGCCTCAGGAATGTCACCACGGTGGAAACGTGGAATTCCAGGCGTGTGTGCGTGGAACGCTTGAACGTTCACCGTTCACGGTCCCACGTCGTAGATTCGATTCGAGGCACGCGTGCTGTTCGGCTGATATTGCAAAATCGCCGCACGTCGGCCATTAGCATAAGCTCTTTGTTAACCGCGACGCCGGTTCGCCGGACGCCTCTTTCGACCGTCCCGTCGCACGGTAGGCTGGAAACCCGTTTATCGTGTCCGAAATTGTTTTAGCGTTGTTACAAGCTTTAAGGTCATGGTGCAGTAGGTCGTCCAGTTCGTCCCGGCACGGGCTAGGACGTTACAAAGTCAGAAGTGTATATTCACCCTTTGCACTCGAACTCGGTGACGCAAACATTGTTATATCAGGTTCAAAAACGATTTTTACATCATCGTACACATCTACATAAGTAAAGATAATTTTATTTCAATTAAGTACTTCGGGATCGTAAAATATAGATTTTAAATATGTTTTATTATAATATATATTACGTAATCTTATTATAATACATATTATTATATATAATCACGTACAGGGTGTTTCGTGTAACTGAGTACAGTGAAATATCTCGGAATAGGTCGAGGCTACGAAAAATATGTTTATACAACAGCTGTTCAGCATAAAAAGCTGTCTCACGTAGTATCAACAAATTTTTCATTTACATAATGGTGGAGGATATTTCAATATCAACTTGATTGCTTTTAAACCAAGCCATACATTCTCTTATTCGTATTACGACTACGTATACTCAGTTAAACGGAACACCCTGTATATTATGTACATATGCACCTATGTCACGTAACCATATATGTTATATAATATATAAATTAACACGTTGGCTGCCGCGCGAATTTTACGTGACTTGCCCAAGGCGCCAACATGAATTTTTCATTATGCGATGCATATTATGTTGAAATATTATTTACAGCAGATAAGTTTAGTTGTATAAACTTGTTTTATGCATTTTTCGTGGCGCATTGTAATAAATTACAATTATTATAATATTATATTATTTAAAAATTTATGCGTATCGATGTTTACCCTAATTATGTATTTTAACTATTCGTCGCGTCGCCGGTCACCGGTGGCCCCCACGGCGCTGTAGCCAAGTCGAGTGCCGGTCACCGGTGACCCCCACGGCAGCCAACGTGTTAAAT